CTTTAGTAACTTTTTCTGTTTCAACAAGATTGATATATTAAATGGCACAGAAAAAAAAAGAAATGAACCACAATCATCAAAAAAGAATCTAAAAGATTACCGGACTCGAAATGGACTCGGACTCGGAATAAATTTTTGAGGACTCGGACTCGGCTCGGACTCGGTCCCTCCCGGACTCGCCCATGCCTGATGTGGACAAAAGACAGATTGATAGGATGCATTTATGTGATAAGAAGATTATGCAGAATGAATGGAAACAAAATAACTTTTCTCAACTGTTCATATAAAAGAAAAGAAAGAGCCAGTTCGTACAACGATCGTTTGGATATTTCAAGAAACAGCTAGAATATTCTTTTCAAACCATAGAAATCAGCTTCATAGTCCATATTTTCGACTTCTATCGAAAATCTAGTTTTGTGGGTAGAGACGGTTGTTCACAGTGATATTTTATTTTTAAACAGACTGAAAAGTGAATAGAAAATTCAAAATCATCAGTGTGACATCACAGTACTCGAGAACTTTTAAACTAGAATAAATGAAGATATTTGTCTTATCTATATTAGACCTACTTATACTTAAAATCTGAAGCAAATCTAAATTGTTTTGTTTCGACAATTGATCGATGGTTATTAGAATTTTCTCTCAAATCTCGTCATCCTCACGAAATTTATTCAACAAGAGAAAAGTTATTCTGACGAAGTTAAGATGCTTTTGCGGAACTCCCTCACTATCTTCAAAGAAGAGGGAGTAACAGTTTTATACCGCAAAACCACTGGTTTTCAGGATAAATTTGACCTCCCTCCCCCCCTGGAGGACACAACCTTTTAACGTGACTAGACGTCTCAGTATTGAGAGTTCCACCTTTAGCACCTTCAGGTGCTACCCTGTCAAAGTTTTTTACACTAAACGAACATAGACTTCTTCTGACAACATATCTACAAAACAATCATTTGTGATTTCTCATTATTGTTAGCTTAATTACGAGACCACTATTCAACTAGAAAAACTATGATGCTGCTTCACAAACAAATCTTACCATAATCCCCTGGATATTGAATAAACAACACTATCAATTGGTTTCTTACAATCAATTAATAATGGAAATATATGCTGAATAGAATCACGTTGAGATACGTGAATTTCATTAAATGTATCGAAACAATTATTCAAATAAACCTTGAAAGATGTAAAAAAAAAACATTTTTAAAATAAGAAGAGAGAGATTAAGAATAACGACTGTTTAATTGTATCCAAAAGAGCACAAGACAGTGCAAAATCTCTAGTCAACATTAACACATCGAGTGGACTAAAGAGTTTGTACTGTATTGTATTCGAAGTTACTAAAAACAATCAATAGAAGTTAAACAATGTGATATTATATAAATAAGACAGCGACTCATGCAATATATAAACTAGAATAAAACTGTAGAAGACATTTTCGTTGAAAATATCTTGTCGAGCCAATCTCGATTGGACTAAAAATATAAAACTTCTCGACTAACGTGCCACTAAAGAACAACTCGAAGAGATTATCCTCTCATCATTTTATACACATCCGACCGTATGTATGATGAAATGCAATCCTCGAGACTGTCGTATGACATGTTTTCTCACTATAGATAGACTCCTCTATTGTTGCTCTTAGAAAAATGTGTACTTACTTTCTTGTTGTCGCCGTTTCGCATTGTAAACTAAGGAGTGCAGGTCATCTAGTCAGGAGAAATTTTCAACAACCGGGCTGAATAAGCTGCACTCATAAGTCAACAGCTAAGTTAATGGACTATTTCATTTAGTCTAAAATTCATAAAGTACAATACATACTTCAGATAAATCATCCGGAATTTTCCTTTCAATTGGTTTAATTTGTTCATGTACTACCGATATGTCGGCTATAACATCAACAGCAGCCAATTCTTGAAGGAATAAATTGAATAATGATGTTTTAAGTGGTTCTATTCTTAATTCAACAGTTGATTCAGGTACTTGATCATCGTTTTGTGTCGTAGATGATATCGAAGTTAGTGATCATTCTGAGAGAACATCTTTTGAATGAAATAATTTTGATGGACATCAACATGGTGCTGTATTACATTTATTCGGTATGGATGGATATTGAAGTTTGTTGCTGCTGTCAATGGGTGATACTGACAATGTGCTTAATTGCCCAGCTACATTTGATTTAATGGCAAATTTTTTGGCAATTCATGTATTGAGTAATATATATTAAATATATTGAGTAACGTTAAGCTTTTTGTTGTTATAATTGTTGCTTACGTGAAGGTAATGTATAGAGCAACACTTTGACATTATCATTAAATTTAACGCGTTTACCGGATCGAACAGATGACGTCAAATTAGTTTGTAAACGTTTTAATATACCATCTGTCTTGCGTGATGCAATGGGAGTAAGTTGAGCTGCTGATGTATCTTCGACAAGTATTTGGGTTGTTGCTGTACAATTACTACAACAAGAATATTATAGGATCAAACGTCAGAGTAAAATAATGCAGCTGAAAATTAGTAAAAACTGAGATTCAAAGATTATAGTCAATAACAGCTGAGTATGAAAGCATGAAATGAATATACATTTCGCTTGTTTCAATGGTCTCCCAGAACCATCTCCTCTCATGTTTATCCTCTATTCACTAATCACAATGCAATAAACCTAAAGGAAAAAACTTGCAAAATCTACACTTTGAAGTGAGACACTCAGCCACTTAGATTGGTATTTAAAAACGTCAGACGTGTCACTGTTCTCGTTTTGCAAAGTATATACATTAACAAACAGCATAATCTCTTCTCTTGATGAATGCGTCACACTATCAAAACTCTTTACTCATTTTATTCGTTTCTCTTATTATTTTTAATTCTATTATGTTATTCAACAACTATCTTTCTCTTCTGTTTTCTAGACTACACGGAATAGGACTATATCGGTGGTATAAACAGAAGAGTCAAACGTTTTCCATCTAGTGTGTACATTATTATATAATAAAGAATACTATTATATTTCTGTAAATTAAACTCTGCATTGCTTCCACTATTAACATTTCTAAACATATAGAAAAATTACTGCTGTGTGAACATGTTTGCTTATAATTGATTACTCATCTTCTCTCTTTCTCTGCTCTTCTGCTGTACTAACTTGTTCTTTCTAACTAAACTCTCTATGCTCGGTGATGTGTCTGCTTGTTGATATGCATGTTTTCTAATATTATGTCTACTACTGTCATTCTTAACTAACAGTTTGTACTTAATAAAATGAAGACTAGAATTAATTCCGACAGTGTAGCTAGAAACAACTTAATGCATTCTATCAGGCATGGGCGACTCCGAGAAGTACCGAATCCGAATCCAAGCCTCGAGTCCATTTCGAGTCCGGTAATTTTTTAGATTCTTTCTTTGATAGGTGTGGTTTATTTCTCTTTTATAATTTACTGAGCCCTGGATTTGATTTATCGAAAATAAGATTACTTTGCATGTCTATTTCCTGAACAAAATTTTCAATTTCTTGTGAAATAGAAGGTGTTATTATTTCACTTTTCATTTTTCTCTGCTCATTTGTATTGAAAGTTGAATAGATCGGACTCGAAATACAAAAACTCGAGTCCAAGTCCGAGTCCGCCAGAAAATCTTCCAGTCCGGACTCGGACTCGCCCATGCCTGCATTCTATTAACAAAATCCAAGTCAAATTCAATGGAAAAAATATCCAAACTCAGTTGAGAGATGTCTCACTGTATCAGGTGTATGAAGAGTAAACGGTGACACTTTGCTCGCAGGTCAAGCTGACATTTTACCTTTTTGGATAACTTTTTCTGAAATGGAAGTTTTTCGAGGCGTCCATTTTACTCTTTCAATACCTGGAAAGTGATGTTGAATGTTAATCTTGTTGTTGATATTGTTCATGATTGAAAATGACTATACGATTAAGAATAACAATAAATTGTTGTGAACATTTTGACCATATATGCCATGCTAATGTCGATTGTAAATGTCGTTGATAGAGTTCATTGATACATTTAGATAGGAGTAAAGATATTTGTAAACAAAAATTATACTCTGATGTCTTGTCTGACAATGTATCGATTAAATAAGTAATAGAATGAAGAAAATGTTTGTTCGTTGATTGAAAATCATTTGGTACAAATCGAATAGAATGTTCAACAAACATATGAAGATGCTGATCACATACTTTAGTTTTCGATACTTCATCACCATAGATATTATCACTAGACAAGCGCGGTAATTGAGCACTATGAATACTACCCTGACTCTAATCTAAATAGAACAATAAAAAAAACAACAACAGTAACTAAGTACTAGTACTAAATTATTAAATTGATCGATTTGACATTATGTATATCACTTTTACAATTTCAATTCAATTTCTTATCAATCGAAAATAAAATACAATGTGAAATACTTTAGTAACATTCACACTATTCTAATTGAAAAGTGCATTACTTATGTAAATAATCATAACAAGTACGTTGATACAAAAAAAATGTGACAATTAAGCTGATGAATTAATTAAACTCTCGCTTCTCTATACGGAAATGTCATTTTTTTTGTTTTATGTCACTATTTATTTGTTTATGACACACGGTAAAACTTGCTTATGTAATATATATTTTTCTCTTCTATAAGTAAAAATGAAACAAACAAAAAACTGCTGATGCGATAAAGGACGCATTGTATCTTACGTCAATCTCATCATATTTTTTATACAAAATCCAAGTATGAGACACCTTAATCACGTTTTAGATGTGTTCTGTAACTCATATTACTAATATTATAATAACTAATATTCTATAACTCATTGATTATGAACTATCAACGATAATCGATCAAATTATAATGCAATAAATAACGTAAAATGTGACACCCACTGGACGAAGAGGTATCATGCCTATATTTAGGTATATATACACACACATGTTGAATAGGATTATGACTCGCTTCTATAAAAGCAAGCCATTGTCGATTCTATAATATAAATAGAAGACCATGGTCTGCTGTTCGACTAAAATCTAGCATTGTCAGAAACTTTATGTTTAAACTAAGGACGAAAATGGAGTTCATTAGACGAAATTATGCTTTTGAACACTGCTACTTTGAAGAAGATCCATACGTGTAAGATGCCGGGAATGTAAAAATTCAGAATTTTTTTTTTTTTATTATGATTGACTAGAGCTCGTCAAGTTACATAAGAAAATGCGGCTTTTACATTTTTGAAGAAAACTTTTCGGAAAAAAAAAGTATTCAACTCTTAACAATAGAGAAAAAGGTGTGAAGTTTTGCTCATTTTTCACTTTTATCGCTATTTCTATCTCTCGAATCTATTTTTTTCGGATTGTTCATGAAAATCTGAATATAAATAATCAAATTTGATCGACTTTAAATTGAAAATGGCAAAAATAAACAAATTTAGAACACCAGTAGAACCAACCCGTCCGATGATCAAGTTTACAACGAAAAAAGAAAAGTGTACCCTAGTGAATGTACTCAAGTGTGAGTACTCAAAAAGTACTCTGCTAGAAAAACCGGACGAGTACTCATACGTACTCATACATTTTTTTACTCACTGAGTACTCATGAGTGAGTAACAAGTACTCTGAGTACGACTTTGAGTACTCATACCACTTTCGGCAAAATACTCATGAGTATTGTTCATCTGATATTTTCATATAAAGGAGTGATCTCAGGTAACCAGAGTAGGACCATAAGTCTAGTTATAGACAAGTCTATCTCTGACTATATGAAGAGAGACCAGTGAGAAAATAATAATATAAATATTCTTTGTTTCTTCACTAAATTCTACAT